GTAAGCAATCTATGAGAAAGGATCAGGTCTAAGCATCTTTATAAGTTGAAGGTGAAATAACTCTAATCCGACGAGACAATTCGGTAAACGTTTATTCGAATTCTAGTCATGCCGAAAAGTATAGTGAAAGCCCTACATACCTTGTCGATGAGTTATATACTGTTTCCGAGACCTCGAAAGCCTTAGGAATGATTTCCTACATAATACGAACCATTCAAAATCAAATTCAAGCTCATAGCTTATATAATTCTTCATTTAGACATTTACGCGAACAACTTGTGGCCATGAATTTGTAGACTCTTTTGTAGATTAATTTCCCCCCAACACACCACCAAATTTTACTTTACTACATCTCCTCATCGACAAGATTCCATCCATGTCTTCACAGATCCAAACAACACAATAAAACCATATAGAACAGCCCCAACAATCAAACCATATTTAGAGACGTTTCTTAAAAAAAATCAAGAATATTTCTATAGAGGTTTCAACTATTTCTTAAGAATTCTTACGGTAGAAGTTTACAAAGATCAAAGAGGAAGTTAAATCATACCTTATGTGACCAGAATTACTCAAAATTCGAAATTACTTCAAGGCGGAGTCTTGCTATGAAAAGTGAAACACCGAAGAATTCACGATTCCCAAGTTACCATGGTGTTCTCCATCTTGAGGATGACTAAATTGTTGTTATCAATGGCTAGATGGATGAGAGGAGTTTGAGAGGAAATCCCTCGGTGTTAGGTTCTGTTTTGGAGAGGATAAAACGCAGGCGTTTCAGTTTTAAAGAATGACTTAAATAAATATTTTTTAACTAAACCCGACTAAGCACACCGTTCCCGTAACAGTGTGCACCCCTGTACGAAAAGGTTAATATCTCTCTACTCCGAAGTCGTATTAACGAACGGTTTGTTGCGTTGGAAACTAGACTCATAGACATTCGATTCATAGGTAGAACACACCATAACTCCCAGTATATTGAGAGAAAAGCTCATCAACATTTTATCCAAATTCCAGTAAAATTTAAACCCGTAACTTGCGGCAATCTTTGTCGAATTTTTAATCACAACTCAAATGACTTCCAATCTTAACGTATAGCTATCACATCATTTAAATATCTCATAGAAATTATCTTCCTATCGAATTAGCTCATTTACAACATGATAACGCCGAATACACAAGATGTAACAGTTCCTTTGTCAATCATCAAAACAAACTTTACTTAGGCCAACAAACACATTGCTATTTCAAAGTCTTTTGGGCTGACGTTTCATATGCTCCTTCTCAAAAGAGAAGCATAGTTATGAGCAGCTTTTATAGTTACTCGTAATGAAATACAGAATAATTATACTTTTTTATGTCAATTTTAAATATATATGTATACTTTATCTCAATATATAAAGAAATCAATACTGAAATCTACACCAAACATGAAATACTCTCATATTCCTAACTCCAAAACTAATTAATCAACGGGATAACTGCATGGTAAGTGGAGGAATTAGCCCTTCACTTTGTCTGCAAAAGTTTGCCAACTTATCCTATGAATTAGGTAGGAAAATATATATAATTTACTCAAATGAGAATTCATATTATGAGATAACTGTTTCTCAACTTCACGAGAGGCCAAAAGTTAATGCTTTTGCAAAGAGCTCAACAATAACTCTTCTAGCATATGTTCCTTCCAGGTTCAATGGTGTAACATAGTCATATCCCGTAAAGTTCATAGAAAGATAGTTTAGCAAAGGAAATATAACGACTACTGCAGTAAGTTTAAATTCATTAATTTCCCATTTGCTAAACCATCTTCTTGAGAATATAATATTAGCATAACTCATTTATTTTGCCGGAATGAAGTTCTTCTGATCACGTCGACTATGATTTCTCTTTCATAGCTGAAGATTTTGAGCTTGTTTTGGATGCCTCTGAGTTTGGTCTTCTATTAGGAACGCCATGGTTGTGTTTTCCCTCATATGTAGTAATGAACTCTTTTGGATCATCTGTGGTTCTTTCAACAAACTTTCGCACGTTGCATTTGGGACTTGTGCATCTATAATAGCTCCTGTATATAGCAGCAATCAAGACATGATAATAGGAAAATAAGTCAGGAGGTAAAAGGCCAATTTATTAATAAGGATACAAATTTTACTGTCATCACTTACGGAGCAAATATGTGATATTCCTAAGATACAAAAGTTATGAAGTAAGAATTCCTGAACTAACAGTTCTCTGCAACACTTTGGTCCGTTGTGGATAATGGAGCTTCTGAAACATAAATCTTTTTGGGTTTTTAATCTTTACTTCCTCTAAGAAAATTAACTTCGGCAAGGGAAAAACTCTTTTTGATGGTCGCATTAACTAGGAAGAGTAGAAGCATAAGAGGTTAAGATAAAATGTTGCACATCAAAATATATATCCTAACAAAATCTGAGTATTATGAACTTGATGTTTGCCATTGGAAAAACTACCAAATCTATAAGTAACCTTCATCATATGCATGGATCTTTGAGTTATTAATTATTATGTTTTCTTCCACCATCGTGTCGTATTTCCTTGGACTTTGTGTACTATTTTTGTTCATAAGGATGAGAAAAGGATTTTACCTGGGATATGAACTTCCCTTCACAACCTTCTGGCCATATTTTCGCCAACGAAAGCCATCCCCGGTAATCTCAGAGTCGGTAGTATTTTGGTTTGGTGTATAAGGAAATGCACTTTCCCCTGATGTACCTGCTCCATTGGATTGGCCTTCAATTTTCCTGGGAAGTAAAATCCCATAGTAGTCACTAATCAGTTTAATAAACAAATGACTTAGCACAAGAATGAATGAAAAATTGTGCGCTATCAAGGGTTCGGTAGAAACAGTAATCTCAGATTGCTGATTATAATTGAATTTACTTGCTTCTAACCTTCTTTTAGTCTTTGGTTCATCACAATCCGCCTCTAACATTTTACTTCCTTCGGCAGAATCTTCAGAATTTCGGGCAGCAGTCTGCATTCCCGCAGCTGCAATGGGATCGTAAAAGCATGCTGCTTTGCTGGAATAAGCTGACTGTATAGGCAATCCAACATCGTTCTGATTTTCCATCCTACATATGTAACCTACTCTCGTCTGAGGACGTTGGTTACTCCATACAGGGTTATTTGTTCCTTTTGAAGTTTCATTGCATACGGCTGCTCGGCCTTGTCCATCTGATAAATTGCGCTTCAGAGGCTGAGGCTTTGGGTGGTTGTGCTCACCCCTGTAAACAATTTCTGCAATCTGTCCATCAAATGATCTTTCAACCTTCTTTTTCACAGGACACTTTAGATGCGTGCACTTATAGTAACTTCTCGGGTATTCACTTCCTTTAACTTGCTTTTGTCCATATTTTCTCCAATTATATCCATCATAACTAGGACGATCAACATTACTCGTGTTGATTAAAGATTGTTCAACTTCTTCTGTGTTCTCTGATACAATTGTTGCATGCACTATTTTTTTGTCCTGTCCTGATTTTGCTAAACGACTTTGTTGAGATTCTGTCTTGAGGTCATATTGTTGTTTAACTTCATTTGCTGATTGAACATGAGCCTCAGTCTCAGCTACTTCTTGTTGCTGATCGGATGCAGAGGTTCCCTATCCATAAGATGTGCTAGATATTATTATTGCCGCAGAGCAAGAGTATAGTAGTACATTTTCATAGCTATTTTAGCCATGTAAAAAGGAAACTAACCTTATTTTCAAGGAGTGTAATGGTTTTCCTTGGTGCAAGTTTAGCCATGGGTTTATACAGGACCTTGGGTTTCTCTACTGATTGCAAGATGTTATCAGATCGACTACCAACTGGTGCACCAGACGTGGCAACCTGAAGTAACATTTTTTTTCTCAGAAAACGACTGAAATGTTTGTTCAAGATGCACCATTGTAGTAAAAAGAAACAAAGAAGAGGTTTGGGGCCATATAAATGATGGAAACTTAGAAAGAAGAGATTATCGACCTGTGAAGAAAGATCTCCAACTAAAGCATTGGTTGTTGCAGGTTTCAACCTGACAGTCCTCGGTCTGATGGCTGTAATAGCCATTTCAGAATGAACATCCGTCGATGAGATATCTATTGCACCAGCCAAGAGCTCTGAGAAAGATTTGTAAATAGGACATCTAGGCCTTGAAGCAACTGGTCTAGCTACAGCTATTTTCGCTCCTTCATTGACCTCCATCTTCGTCTGTTTTCTTCCATGTAAAAATTGAATAACAGTTAGGTTTGAAAGTTCGCGACACAGCTAGGACAAAGTACATAAACAAAACATATGGAAATAGTAATACCAATTGAAAGGATGTTTCAAGTTCTAGAGCCTTGAGTTCTAAAGTTGTCCAGTAATGTGAAGAAAGATATCTACTCGGTCCTTTCGTTTGGACTTGATTGTATAAACATCTCGGGGGTTCTCCGATCTTAGTGAATCTGTCAATAACTTAACTGCCTGATTCAACAGCTTGACTACAATTATATAAGTTGTATTCAGGTATTCTAGTTGTGCATCCTTCTTACCATTGTAAATTCACAAGTGTGCTAAGGATTTCTCAAGAATTTTTAACACCTAGATTAACCCAACTCCAAAAAATCAAAGTTACAAGTAGGAGCCACTGAAACTTCATAACAATGCAGAAACTGGCTCCTTGTCTTATCAGTCTATAGATGTTAAGACCTATGTTGATCGGATATCCGATCGAGTAGTGGATCTAGACGTCGGATCCTTAGTAATTTAAATGTTAAGATTAGGGGGTACGGATCTAGGTACAGATACGAGTGCGGGGATTCGGCTAAAAATAATTCAAAATTCTAAAAATAGATGTATAGAAATACCCTACGTTATGAGGATTTTGTGGAAAACTTATAGGTTGAGGAGTGCAGCCAATAATTCAATCTTTCATTTTGAGAATTCTCAAGTTGTAGGCACTACCAGACAACATCTAAAATTCAATCTTTCGTTTTTCATTTTTCCTCAAATTTTTCTATGGACTGTGGTCAAAGTACCTGATCTCGATTGACCCCACCGGTATGAATTCCATGCTCATACTAGTACTAGTGTCGTGCCAACATTGGTGCGGCACCCAAAATGAAAAGTCCGCATAACATAGGTTAAGGCCACTTCAAACTATCAAAAATAAAAGAAGTACTAACAAATAAATCTAGTCAACCAGTGAATCAATAGCTTATTCATTTTTTTCATGAAAGAGACTCAAATAATCAAGTTCACTCCTTTTAACTAGTAAAATTTGTCTCAACCAAAGGTCTTGGGGGTTCGAGCCCTAGGAATGAAAAAAATCTTAGTAGAAAATATTTTCCTTTTTAATGGGCCTTACGCGATGCAAATCTAGTTAGTCGAGGTTCCACTGCAAATACCGGATGCCGATTAAGAAACAAACAAAAAAAACTAGTAAAAGGATAAGACCCCCAAAGAACTGAAGAAGAATCCTTTACCAAGTAATAATTGATGGAGAAAAACCTAAGAATTCATCTGGGCTCCCATTGAATCACATTTACTTTCATAACAAAGCATTTAACATAACCTGCATTTCAAAATTCAAAAAATTTCAAGTATGTTCAAAACGTCAATGCTTTTACAAAGTTAACCAAAATAAAAGTTAAAAGCCAAAGGAGGAACTGTTTTTCAAATGGAAATACGAACTAACCCTGAAATGAAAAGCTCCGGTTCTAATTTTTCAGTAAAGTGTGAAAACTTGTCCCTTTTTCTTCGAACTATATACAGAATATAGATTAGAAGTTTAGTGGGAATGATTATTAAGAAATAGGTAAAAGAAATCCAAAGATTCTAATTAATGTACAGAAAAAGAATATTTTCTTACGTTTTTCACTGATTTTCTGCCACTGAAATTGTAATTGAGTTTGGAGGGAGTGAAGAGAGTTAGAAAAGATAGAATGCTACAGTTTTAACATCTAAGAGTAGTATCCAGTCTAGTGTGTGTCCAACTGTCCATGAGGCCAACTAACTGTCTAATGTTAGCTGTTGCACTTTTGACTTTCTGATGAGTGTTTCTGTTTGTATGTGAATTTAGCTGCTTTATTATAACCTATGACAATGACCGAGTGATTGCGTGGGACCCAATTTACTTGCGGGTTTTGATTACCATAAATAATGCGAGTGTGAATTTCAAAAATTGACCCATTGATCATGACGTGGAATTGGTTAGAGGGGCAGTTTCGTGGATCGTGATAGTGAATTACGTGTAAGGTAGCTAAAAATATTAGGAGCCTACATGATTTTTTTAGTGGTGAAACCCATATTAGGAAAACCATACGAGATTGATCCAAAGAAAACAATATCACACCATGTTAGTTTTTATAATTTCTCAATCTTTTATGAACTGTTTTGAATATAGTTTTTTATCTTTTTGCAAACTCCAAATAACCTGACGTCTCTCTAACCTAACGCCTCTATTAACGTCAGCGTAATTCCGATGACCTCCATCGGAGTCAGGTAAGTCCCCCCCCCTTCTCTAACATTTCCCCATGTTTTTCTTCTCCTTCCTCCGTCCTCCCCTCTTCTTTCCTCTATCCCCATCTCAGATCGCCGGATCTTGCACCCCTCCCCCCCTTTTTCTCCTCGTCTCTTTATCTTCCCCCTATTTCTGCCTCCTCTTTCTTCCTCCTCCACTATCCATCTTCTCCTCTACCCCCGCCTTGTTTTCTCCAATTTTTTTGTTTTTTTTTCTCCGTCGTCGGGCATCTCCGCCGGGCAGTGGCGCTCTTCTTGGTCGTCTTCTGTCCTTTTTCAGTGGGCTGCTTGTCGAATTTTTGGAGTAGCAATGGCGGTAGATGATTCTGCACAGAGGAAATTATCTAGCGAGCCTTGAGAGGCGCATGTGACCAGGCGCGGGCAGCTAGAGGCGGACGTCGCGTAGGTATTTTCGGACTATAGCTGCTGTTGTTCTACACCATTTTGGCATCCGTAGACATTCCAAGTTCTATCATTCCTGCTTAGTATTTGTATCTTGTATGTTTATAGCTTTGTTGCCTGCCTTTTACCCTTGAATATTACATTAGTTGTCTGCCTTTGTTGCGTGTTTACCTTTCTTTGCCATTAACAAAATCACCGCATATCTTGGGTGATTAAGAAAAAAAAATTTAGTCTACATTGAAGCTTTTCCACTTGTTTGCATTTGTAGTAGTTTTATTTTTAAGTTATAGTCCTTAGTTTCTTTGTTGGAGGGGTGGCTAGTCGGAACGATGGTAGAGTAGGGTCATGCCCTCGGGTAGGCCAGGGGGAGGGGGCAAGGGTGGGAAGGGGGTAAAGGGATCTAGTAGACTAAGAGTAGGGTCGTGGAACATAGGGTCACTGACGGGTAAGTCCATAGAGTTAGGGAATATTCTACATAAGAGGGAGATTAATATAGCATGTGCTCAGGAGACTAGATGGAAGGGTACAAGGGCTCGGGATGTTAACGGGTTTAAGTTATGGTATTCAGGAGGAGGAACATACAAGAACTGGATAGGTATTTTAGTTGATATGGATCTCAAGAAGATGGTGGTGGATGCTAGGAGGGTAAATGATAGGGTAATGAGTATTAAGCTAGTGGTTGATGGGGTCACTTTTAATGTGATTAGCGCTTACACGCCTCAGGTGGGCCTAGGCGAGGAGGTTAAAAGGCACTTCTGAGATGATTTGGATGAGGTTGTGCGTAATATTCCTCACTCCGCGAAGCTCGTCATATGGGTGATTTTAATTGCCATATTAGGGTAACTGCTAGGGGTTATGACGAGGTGCATGGCGGGTTCAGTTTCGGAATTAGAAATGAGGGCGGTACCTCATTGTTGGACTTTGCTAAAGCTTTTGACCTAGTGTTAGCTAATTCGTGTTTCCAGAAAAGGGAGGAGCACTTGGTCACTTTCCGGAGTAAGGTTACCAGGACTCAGATTAATTACCTTCTCCTTAGGAAGGGTGATAGGGGCCTTTGAACTGATTGCAAGGTTATCCCAAGTGAGTGTCTATCGATGCAGCATAGGCTCCTGGTAATGTACTAGGAGGTCAAGAGAGTAAGGAAGAAGAGAGCGGTGTACGGCTAGCCGAATATTAAGTGGGGGGCCTTGATTAAGTCAAAGGCACAGGAGTTAGAGGAGAAGTTGTTGGTCATGGGGGCCTAGAGGAGTAGTGGGAACGCGAGTAGTATGTGGATCACGACAATGAAATGCATTAGGGAATCTGCTAAAGAGGTTCTAGGGGTATCGAAGGGTTATTCGGGAGGCCACAAAGGGGACTAGTGGTGGATCGAGGAGGTCCAAGTAAAAGTGGATGCTAAGAAAGTGACATATCTGAAGCCAGTGGGGAGCACGGATGAGGTGGAGCAGAGGACGTGTAGGGAGAGTTATACGAAGGCAAGGAAAAAGGCAAAATTGGCAGTCATGGCAGCTAAGGCTGTTGCTTTTGAGCGATTATATGAGGATCTTAGGGGAAAAGAAGGTGATAGGAAGTTGTACAGGTTAGCCAAGATTAAGGGGATGAAGGCTTGGGACCTGGATCAAGTGCGGTTCACCAAAAATGAAGATGGTAAGGTTCTGGTGGAAGAGGCGTGTATTAGGCGTAGATGGCACAAGTATTTCCATAGACCCCTGAACGAGGAAGGGGAAAGGAACATCGTGCTAGGTGTGTTGTAAAACTCAAGAGTCAAAGGGATTTTGGGTTTTGCAGGCGTATTAGGAGCGAGGAGATTAAGGGGGCAATGCGGAAGATGATTAGAGGTAAGACAACTGGGCCTGATAAGATCCCAATAGAATTTTAGAAGGAAGTGGGTCGGGCAGGCTTGGAATAGCTTACTGGGTTGTTCAATGGCGTTTTCAAGGTGAAGAAGATGCCCAAAGAATGGCAGTGGAGTTTGATGATCTCGTTGTACAAGAACAAAGGTGATATTCAGGACTACAACAACTATAGGGATATCAAGCTACCGAGTCATACTATGAAAATTTGGGAGAGTGGTGTGAAGAGGAGGGTGAGACGTAGTGTTACTATTTCCGAGAACTAGTTTGGAATTATGCCGGGAAGGTCTACTATAGAAATCATTCACCTTGTAATGAGATTGGTAGAGCAGTATAGGGAAAGGAAGAAGAACTTACATATGGTATTCATAGACTTGGAGAAGGCCTATGATAAAGTCCCTAGAGAGGTCCTAAGGTGATGTATAGCGGCTAGCATTGTCCCAATGGCATACTATAAGGTAATTAAGGACATGTACGAGGGAGCGAAAACTCGGGTGAGGACTGAGGGAGGAGACTCGGATAATTTCCTAGTGGAGATGGGGTTGCATTAGGGATCGACTCTTAGCACATTTCTGTTTGCCTTAGCATTATAGGTGCTAACGCGACACATACAAGGGAAGGTATCATGGTGTATGTTATTCATTGATGACATAGTCCTTATCATGAGATACGTGACGGAGTTAATGCTAGGTTGAATGTTTGGATACAAATATTGGAGTCTAAGGATTTTAAGTTGAGTAGGTCAAAAACTGAGTACTTGGAGTGCAAGTTCAGTGATGGGATGCATGAAGAAGGAGAGGAAGTGAAGATTGGTACACAAGTCGTCCCCAAAAGAGATAGTTTCAAGTATCTTGGGTCTATTATTCAAGGCAACGAGGAGATTGACGAGGATGTTATCCATCATATTGGAGTAGGGTGGATGAGATGGAGTCTCTCCGAGGGGGTTTTGTGTGATAAGAGTGTGCTACCTGGACTTAAGGTCAAGTTTTACAGAGTGGTGGTTAGATCGGCTATGTTGTGTGGGGCTGAGTATTGGTCCGTCAAGAAGTCCCATGTCCAGAAGATGAAAGTAGCTGAAATGAGGATGTTGAGATGAATGTGTGGTCATACCAGGAAGGACATGATCAGGAATGCAGTTATTAGGGATAAGGTAGGAGTGGCATCAATGGAGGACAAGTTGCAGGAGTCGAGGCTGAGATGGTTCGGGCATGTGAAAAGAAGAGATATAGATGCTCCGGTGTGAGAAATTGTCTATTGCGGGTCTGAAAAAAGGAAGGGACAGGCCTAAGAAGTATTTGGGAGAGGTAGTTAGGTAGGACATGTCATTGCTCTAGCTTACCGAGGATATGACACACGATAAAAAGGTGTGCAGGTCGAGGATTATTGTTTTAGTTTGACAGATAGTAGTGTGTTCCTCATAGGCTTACCAGTAGTACTAGGATTATTTTTGTATTTTCTTATTCATGGTTCTTTACTATTACATGCAGTGTCATTCGCACCCGTTAACTTAATATTTTATGTTGTTACTATTGTTTGCTACTTATTATTTTATCTCCATTGTTCCTTGAGTTGAGAGTCTATCGAAAACAACCTCTCTATCTTTATAAGGTAGGGTAAGGTCTGCTTACTCATTATCCTCCTCAGACCTCATTTTTAGGAATACACTGGATTTGTTGTTATTGTTGTTATCAATCTTTTATGAGGTAAACATTTCTTCTTTTAAATGTGGAGTAACTCTTGGAAAACAATTTCATTAGTGAAGCAAATTCACTCTAAGGACTTTTTTCCTCCTCCATTTTCCTTTTCGCTTTCAATTCACAAACCAAATAAGAGAAGAAATTGTTTGGCGTTCCTCCTTTTCCACGATTACGTAACAATTTGACAATTAACTTAAAGTAGTACTCCCTTCGGTCCATAATAAGTGATCAATTTGCTTTTGGTACGCCCATTGAGAAAATACTAAATTCTATACTAAAATATCTTGTATGACTAAACTACCCTTAATAAAATATTTAATGTGAGGAGTAAGAAAACTTTTTAGGGATATGTACATAAGGATAATTTTGTAAAAACAAATTGAATTTTTTCTTGACTATTTAAATGAACACTTATTTTGGACCAAAATAAAAAAGCAAATTGGTCACTTATTATGGACCAGAGGAAGTAAAACACAAATGAAAATTTTACGGGGCATTTGCATCTATACCCGCTTTACAAAAAATTGCAAGCGTACCCGCTTTTTCGCATAACTTCAGCATACGGGGCTGAAGTAGCAAAGGCAATCACACAAAACTTCAGCATTCTAGTACCCGGGCCTGAAGTTCAGCTCTAGAGCTGAAGTTTTTATTTTATAACTGACGAACTTCAGCTCTAGAGCTGAAGTTTTTATTTTGTAATTGGTGAACTTTAGCTCTAGAGCTGAAGTTTTTGTTTTTGTAACTGACTTTAGCTCTAAAGCTGAAATTTTTTTTTGTAATTGGCGAACTTCAGCTCTAGAGCTGAAGTTTTTGTTTTGTAACTGGCGAACTTCAGCTCTAGAGCTGAAATATTTTCGATTTGCTCTTGTGTCACACATGAAAATGTGTAAGCATCTATATTCATCTCTAATTACCTGTTACATTTTAGCAATATATTTTCAGCTAGAAGTGCTTTCTACCGCCAGTCGCTCCTCCTAAATGACCTATCAACGAGGCTTCGAAATCATGTTATCTGCGAGAAGAAATTAGAATTAAAGCCTTCGTTCCCAATTTCTTTGGAGTGAAGCAGCTAGAGATCCCCATATTTTAGCCCTATTCCTCTCACTCTTCGTTAGATTACTAAACTAGATTAATCCCCAAGTCATATACGTTGAGATCAATTTACCTCACATGAATTTTATTACTCCATAACAGAACTTTGTATAACAATGATCTCTGATTACCCCAAAAAAGAAGAAGAAGAAGAAGAAAACGAATGAGAAGAAGGAGGAGGAGAAAGGGGGCTGAAGTTTTTTAAAAAGTAGGTACAAGTTAAAACTTTTTAAAAAAAATGAATATAGGTTAAATGGGGGCGACCAAATAGGGCGCCCTGTGCAATTTTTACAAATTTTACTAAGCAAAACACGATGGCAGTACGTGCGAGGCTTGATGGCCGCCGTAAGTGATTTTATTTGGAAGTATTCAAGTATCATGGCCTATTATGTGTGAGCACACGATTTTTGCCTCATACGAATTACTCCAAAAGAATTCCCAAAATTAGGTCTTTTCTTTAATTATGTGTTATTTTTAGGAATTATTGTGTGATTTCCCTGATTGTTCGCATATATTTGTGTGCATGTTTAATTTTGTTAATGCACTAAAAATACAAAAATATAGCATTTTCATTTGAGATTTGATTTTTACATTTTTTGGAACTAATTAATAATTAGATGTCTTACAAAAATGAAAATTCAAAAAAAAAAATATAACATATTTTTGTAATTTTAGTCAAATTGTGTGATTTTCTTTTAATTTGGCATTTAATTATTTGTGATAATTATTAGTTAGAATTAATTAGTATTTTTAAGTTAATTTGGTGTTTTATAATTAATTAGGATTTTAGTTTTAATTGTTGAAAAGAAAAAGGAAAAGAAAATTGAAAAGGAAAAGAGAATAAGAAGAGGAAAATCTGGTTGGGCCAAATTAGCTAGGCCCAAAACCAAAACTCAGCCAAACCCATTGAGAATAAGAAGAGGAAAATCTGGTTGGGCCAATTTACTATTTGAGAAGCTCCTAATAGTGGTAGGGTAGTATTTGCATTATCAATTAACTAAAAGCACTAATTGAGCGGACAATTAAGTGGATGATTAAAGAAATAAAAAAGTTGAATTGGTAGTGGAAAATGCACTAATTGAATGCCCATTTAAGGGAGCTGAAAATCAGATTAGAG